CAATGCCTAAACCTTAGGTCCCATGATTATATCCCTCATTTTCAGCCGAATTATGGACTTTTCTATGAAGAGAAAACTGAAGTTCTCAGATCGGGACTTTTCCTGTGAAAATGACATTTTCACCTACGAGAGGGGCTAGCTTTCCTTCCGTATCTCCCACTGCAACTGCAAAGATGCCTACCGTCTGCCTGTGTTTTGGAGCCCGCTGATTACTGACGTCTCACGGTATTTGCTAGATCTGTTATCTGTTCTCCTTCCAGAATTCTGTGCTCTCCCTCTGATGCTTCCTGTCCCACCCACATTTAAAGACACTCATTTTAAAAATAAGCAAAACAAACCCTCTCCTTCAACTTCAGGCTACTTCCCAGACTTGTCCTCTTTACACAGCCAGGGGTCCCTACATCTGCATTCTGTGCTTTCTCAGCTCTCATTAAACTTTCCCTTTAGATGGAAAGAAACCACTCTAAGCAAGAGAGAAAATGCTAAAACACGTTTTTTAAACACTTAGAAACACACTTTTAAAACATTTAGTAAATCTTTGCTTATAGCATAGATTTACAGGAAATTTGCAAGAATGTTAGAGCATTCCCCGTGCTGTTAACATCCTCAACATGCATCCGGTACTTTGTTACAACTAATGAACTGATAGTGACACATTATGATTAACTCATGTCTATACTTTCTCTGGATTTTCTCAGTTTTTCCTTAATGTCTGCTTGTTGCACTGGGATCCCAACCAGGGTATTTCACAACTTTCAGTGGTCATATCTTCTCGGTCTCCCTTAGGCTGTGACAATTTCTCAGACTTTCCCTGTTTCTGATGATCCTAACAGCTTTGAGGGATACAGGCCAGGTAGTCTGTAGAATGTCTTTCAATTTTGGTTTTTCCAGTGCTTTTCTCATGATTAGATGGGGGTTATGGGTATTTGGGAGGGAGACCATGAAGGTGAAGTGCCCTTCTCATTCTATTATATCAAGCTTACACGCTGTCAACGTGACATATCCTGGTTGGTGCTGACCATCACTGGGCTGATGACACGTTTATCAGGTTTTCTGACTAGAATAACTTCTCTTCCTTTACTTCTGAGGAACATTTTAAATAATAGAAGATACAAATATTTAGCTTTGGAGTATCTAGATCACCAGTGAATGTTGTTACACCTACTGTCTACCTGCGTGTGTGTGAGCAGTCCTTTGTGGAAGTGCACCTTGATTTTGCACAAGGATAGAGAGGCACAGTGAGAGGGAGAGACACAGAGTAACCCAAGCACTCCAAAGAAGAGAGACTTCAAGTGACCCAGGGAACAAAAGCATCTGGGATTGAACAAGCACCCTGTGCTGAATGTGGAATCGTGAATTTCAGTGGATGGAGAGGGTTATATTCTTCAATATTTGTGAAGCAAGTTAAGTCACTGTAACGCAGACTCTAAACACAAAAGTTCAAGTAGGCTAGACGTTTGCTTCTCTCTCATGCAAGAGCCCAGAGGTGGGCGGATGGCCAAGGGCTGGAAGGTTAGCTTGCCATCCTCAACACATGACAACTGCTCCATTTGTCAACGCTGGTAAACCAACAGGAAGGAAAGATGAATGAAAGGCATCTGTCTTTCTTTCTCAAGAATCAGAGGCAGAAATTGTTCATGTAACCACTGTTATATCCCACTGGCCTGACCTTAGCAATGTGAATGCATACCAAGCTACAAAGTAGTGAGGCAGGGCAGGGTCTAACTGGATGCCCATTTGTTTGCTGAAAGTTGCTTAGGTTTATATGAATAAACAATCTAGAAGAGAATGGCTACTGGGAGAAGAAATACTGGTCAAAATGAGCAAATCCTTAAAGAAGTTGTGGTGTATTTATACAATGGAGTAGTACTCAGCCATAAAAAAGAATAGAATAATGCCATTTGCAGCAACATGGATGGACCTAGAAATCGTCATTTTAAGTTGAAGCCAGAAAGAGAGAGAAAAATACCACACGATATCACTCTAAAAAATCTAAAAAAAAGAAAAAGAAAAACAAGGACACTATCAACTCATCTACAAAACAGAAACAGATTCACAGACATAGTAAACAATCTTATGGTTATAGAGGAAAGGGGGTGGGATGGGATAAATTTGGAAGTTTGAGATTTGCAGATGTTAGCAACTATATATAAAAATAGATTTTTAAAAGTTTCTTCTGTATAGCACAGGGAACTGTGTTCGATATCTGGTGATGATCTTTAATGAAAAATATATGGAATATATGTATGTATGTGCATGACTGGGACACTGTGCTGTACACCAGAAATTGACATATTGTAATTGACTGTACTTCAATTTTAAAAAAAAGGAAAAAAGAAATCAATAACAAAAAAAAAGAGTAGATCTTTAACTGAACCCCTGGTGTCAGGTTGTTTCTCATTTTTTCAAATAAAGAGAGAACATCTGGACCAAAGCTGCAAATCGAATCAGCATCTCGTTGAGTTTACTCATCTGCATCATTATCCAAGCCCCACCCACACATCTTGAGCGAGTGAGTCAAAGGGTCTGTGATAGAAAAAAACGCACCTGAAGTTTAAGTTTAGCCAGTGACCCTCATCTCTGCTGTTCTCCCCAGAAGCGCAAGGTTAATTTTGCTTCACTGTTTCAGTAAGGAGGCCTTTTCTACAGGCTTTCAGGTGGGCTTCCTATCATACACATCTTCACTCTGTGGATCGTGCAAAGGTGGGGGATTCTCCAGGTGCCTCCCCTGTCTGTTCCAACTGTGCACTCAGGTCCTGGGGGAAGGACAGGGTGAGCTCTCTGCCTGCACCCCAATTCTGTGTTTCTCTGACTCCCAGAATGCCCCACTCTGACTGGTGGGATCATCTACACTCTGGGACCCAAGGGTTGGAATCAGAGGCAGTGTTAAGTACAACCTAAGATACAGTGAATTCCCCTTTTGTAGTTTTCGGACACCCAGGGAAAGGGTCCCCAGCGCCCTGGAGGAAGGCTCCAGGAGGATGTGTAATCCGCACAGAACACCATCTCAGCTACCTGGTCTTGGATGCATGGCTTCCCCTCTATGCAGAGGTCTTGGGCTGACTGAGATACTAAGACTGCTTCTGAGCTCAACCTGGCTTCTGTCTCCTAGTCCTAATGTGTTTCATGTGCAGAGATCAAGTAGGACCAGTAATAAGAGTCTTAAACCCTCCAACACAAAGAAAATGAAAAGAGGATGAGACGGAGGATATGTAATGAGTGGACCTATCATGGGACCTGACAACAACTAGGAACACAGAAAAGTGACAGATCTTGTCCTTATACCCTGCTGAAGGTTGTACCTTTTTTACATAACCATGCCAATTCTTTATAACGTATTCAGCAAAAGCAACCCTGTGATACCATGCTGAAGTGACTGAATTTAAGGATCTACGGTTGATATTTGTAATTGCCCAGACATGGAAACAAGCTAAACTTCCATCGAGAGAGACTGGATAAAGATGTTTATTTATACAATGGAATACTACCCAGGTATAAAAAAGAATAAAATATTGCCATTTGCAGCAACATGGATGGACCCAGAGATCGTCACTCTAAGTGAAATAAGTCAGAAAGAAAGAAAAATACCATATGATATCACTTGTATATGGAGTCTAAAAAAAAATGACACATAATGAACTTATTTACAAAACAGAAACAGACTCGCAGACACAGAAAACAAACTTACGGTTACCAGTGGGTAGAGTGGGTGGAGAAGGATAAATTGGGAGTTTGGGATTTGCAGATACACACTACTATATATAAAATATATAAACAACAAGGTCCTAGTGTACAGCACAGGGAACTATATTCAATAGCTTGTAATAATCTATAATGAAAAAGAACATAAAGAGGAATATATGTGTAACCGAATCACTATGCTGTACACCAGAAATTAACACGACATTGTAAACCGACTCTGCTTCAATAAAAAAGAACCTACTGTTGAGAGAAGCCTAATAAAATAGTCCAGTGATAAGACATACTTATGCCTGAGGCCGCTGCATTACCTATGAACACATAACCCCCCTCCATGAGCAAGGAGAAACATTCTCAGTAACTCTGCACTCTGAGCATTTTGGAGTTTTAAAAATAGGTATCACAGTAAAACCACATAAATTCAGTCAATGCTTCATCATTTACCCATTTCAATGGCAAACGCAGGAAAACAAACAGGAAGACACGTTCATAATTTTCTGACTCAAGGACAAAATGCAATTAATGACAACCATTTCAATACCCAAACTTGACTACTGAATTTCAAAACAAAAATTCCAGCTAAAATAAACTTTGTAAGTTAGAACAGTCTTAAATTCCGAAGAAGCCTGAAATGAAACATGTCTCTTGATATATTTACTAAATTTACTGAAACAATGCTTTGGATACCTTTAAAAAAAGTTTCATCTTGCTTTCAGCTTAATTAGAAATAACTTGATTCACTCTCTTCTCTGTAAAAAGAAATGGGGAGGGTTTTCTTCTGTTATGTAGGGAACACTTTTTAGCAAACAAACATCAGAATCAGTTTCTTTGTGCATGCAAGGCACATTGTTCAAATGCAATCTGTGCCTTTCTCGACATAAGTGACACACTGACAGATTCAATTTTGTTTTAAGATCTGCTCCGGCACTGACAGAATGTTAAGCATCTTACTGCTATGGATGTGCACCATTTGAATTTTGTGTAAATTTTTGCTTTCTAATAATGAACTTCCAACAAAACAGCTAGTCAAGTAATCGCCATTTGAGTGTTCAAGGTTGATGGACGGCACTCAGTAGTTCTGGCTAATGAGGCACTGAAATGATGAGCAGAGAGACCGAGGCATTGGTGCTGTTAGCTGAGAAGTGCTGAGGACTTCTCCAGGGATGGATGCCAGGGGAAACACTGAGCATGAAGCAGAGGAATAGACGCCAGTGGAGACACTGGGGATGAAGCAGTCTGCACACTCGTAAATGACAAGGGCATTACCAGATGAACTGAACAGAGTGGAGGGGCTCACTTACCATCAGACGTCCTTGGAGTTCTGGCATCCACCAGTGCCTCTCACCACAATGGAGATTAAAACCTCCTGTTTCTTCCAGTGACTACAGTTGGGCTTCACTCACCTGAAACCAAAGGTTTCCTGATCAGTACACAGCTACCTTCCCAAGATGAATTAACCTCTTTGTTGTGTGTTGGTCTGATGTGATTCTAAGCCCACTTAATCACGACAAAGATGGAGCCGTCTCTGTAACTATAGCTGTTCTGATATAAAAGGGAAAGTGTTGGGTCAGGATGGCATCAGGGCCGTCTGTGGTTGCTCGGAAGCCCTCGGTGTTCGGCCGCTCGGGGCACATCAGCAAAAACACAAGCAGCGATGGCAGGGCCGTCAGACTGCACGCCCAGAGTTTGTGCAGACTGTCTGAGACTGTTCTGACTCTATGCTCACCTAAAGAGCTCTCTGAAGAGCTGGTGGCGTTAGCTCCTGCCTGGGCAAAACGACCCCTTGCCAGCAGTGGTGGAAACCATGCAGTCCCAAGGAGACAAATTTACCCACCAGAATCCACGCCCTCACTCCCCAGCAAGCTGCTCTAGCAACAGGCGGTGCTCACTTTGCACAGGCACCGAGACAGAGCCCCAGGTGGCCGAGCCAACCCTTCCGAGAACCACCTCGTAGAAAGATACACCTCAACTAAACCTGGACTTTATTCTTTTCATCCCTTCCTTGCCTGGAACAACAGTGTCATTAAGCTCTTATTGGTTTGGAGTATGTTGTTTCTTTATTGGCTTATTAAGAGACATTATCCTGTACACTACTGCCTTGTGAAATTATAATTTCTGCAGTGAACCTGTATTAAATACAATATTGGCAAAGACAACCTCAGTCTCTAAGCTGGACAGAACACTCTTCTAAAGAGCATGCTATCCGTAAAAACTGACCTTGAGGAGAATTAAGCAATCTTTTTTTCCTAGACTGGGGTAATGAGAACAGAAATGATCATAATGTTTTGCATGAATTTCATGTTGGTTAAGACCAGGAAACTCACAACAGTGATACTTTCTGATATAAAACTCAAAAATGGTTTTAATGACAACTCTTTACCTCTTTCAGAAATAAACATGAAAGTAATAAGTCAACACATAATTTTCCTGTTCAAATCGTAATTAGAAAAAAAAAATGCCTGAGTATACTATTTTAGAAACATGAAGAACAGAGGCTCCTTTCAACTTCTTGGCTTGCCTTATTTTGACATCAAATTGCATGCAATTGTGCCTGCATGTGTCTGCATGGGGATTCATGCAAAGATGACTGAATTTAGTCACTGTTAGATATTAGATCTTTTTAATTAAATTTATCATGAAGTTTGAATCCATAGCCCCCAGACAGCACTGGAAGTAGCAGAAAAAACTCAATGACGTTATTTCCTTCTGAACACATGCCCCAGGGCAGCAAGGGGTCAATGGCACCTGGCCTCTTTCAGCATTATTGATACGTCAGAATCTGCATTTTAAATCATTCCATTTTTAACAGGGTTGTAAGCTGAAACTCAAAACTCTTCTTTGCAATGCTTTGCCAAGTTAGGTATCTAAGTATGTATCAAACTACATTTGCTCACAGTTTCTGTTTGGAATGTCATCCATTACCACCTGTCCCCGGCTTAGAGGAATAATTACCCTGCACCCACTCTGTTATAACACTGCTGAGCAAGGATGTCCTGCACAAAACCCTCCAAGATTTCAAGGTCACACAGATCAGTGGCTCGACCTTGCTGAATTCTATTCACCCTTCCAGGACACTCGATAAACAGACCCCTGGTAAAGGAGCTCACTGGCATTGCTGGTACGACTCCGAGACACACAGCCAGTGGAGTCTCAACTGGAGCATTTGCCATCCTCCATTGTCTCAGACCCCACATCCCACATAAACCAGCCTGCATCCTGTCCTTTATGGAGTGTGGTAAGCAGCAGACAGGGAAGGCGGGTGGCCCTTAGAAGCTGGAAAAGGCAAGGGAACAGATTCTCCCCTAGAGTCTCCGGAAGGAATGTAGCCTTGCCAACTGTTGGATCTTAGCCCTGCAAGACCTTTTAGGACTTCTGACCTCCAGCACTGTAAGGCAATAAGTGAGTATTGTTTGGAGTCGGTACGTTTGTGGGAATGTTACGACACCAATGGAAACCTACTGGGCACCCTCATGTTATGATTTTAATTACTTACTGTAATTAATTACGCTTCAGCTTTCATTAACATTAAATCTGAATGAGCAAGTTGGTCGGCACAATTTGAGAAGACATTTGAGTTCCATGAGCACAAACACTGAAACACAGATTTTTATCATCAGACCCAAACATTAGTGAGCCTGATGGCTCCAACTCCAGGACCAGTCCTCCAGTATGAGGACTTACAACCATCTTTTATTTCTTTGAGTAATTACCTTTACCTCACCAAGTGATACATTTCCACTGCTATTTTTTATCTGTTAACGCTATATAATGATCTCCTCTTATGAAACATGAAATCTACTTACATTACAATATCTCCTTCGTAAGTTTTTTTTTTTAATAATTATATCACTTTGTAGACTTTCTCTATTAGTTACTGTTCTGGGTTGAACTGTGTAACCCCAAAATTCGTATGTTGGGTCCTAAGCCCCATCACCTGAGAATGTAACCTTATTTAGAGGTTAGGTCTTTATGGAAGTAATCCATTTCACATGACGTCATGAGGGTGGGCCCTAATGCAATGGGACTGGTGTCCTTCCTTACAGAAAGGGGAAATTTGGACATGAGACAGACATGCGTCAGGGAAGACAGTGTGATGGGACCCAGAGAGAGGTCCTGTGAAGACGGAGAGAGATGGGAACGATGTGTCTGAAAGGCAGGGAATGCCAAAGACTGCCAGTAAACCACCGGGAGCAAGGGGGAACCCATGGAGACTCTTCCTCCCAGCCCTCGGAAGGATCCAACCCTGCCAGCACTGGATCCTGGATTCCCAGCTTTGAGAACTCTAAGACAGTCAACCTCTTTGGTTGAGGCCACTCCAGCCTGCGGTGCTGGGTCATGGCAGCCCTAGCAATCTGATGTAGCTACCTTCACAACCCAAGATAATACACATCACAAAACCAAGTTCCTTGCTTTGTTGTATCAAAGCAAAAAAGGACACAGGTGCCCACGAATAGAGGGGAGTTTGGACTTGTCCTACAATCTGGTGTCGTATTAGGAACAGAGAGGGGCTGCCGCCTGCATAAAACAGACATTTATGAATGTGTGTTTTACATTCCTGCTCCGCATGGAGTCACCTACATTTTTCATCTAGGAGAAAAGACAATATATACATATTTACAAGCCAAGAGCAGGGAGAGGAGGAAAGAATGACAGTACAGTTACCTTCTTGCTCCCCACCAACCCTCTCCCGTCCCCACCTACCTTCTCCCCTCCCTGCCCAGGCATTTCCGGGACAGGAGTAACTCACACGTGGGGACATTCATGGGTCCCTGCTTCCATACCACACGACTCGTCCGATGGTTCTCAGCTGGGGGAGATTCCCCAGAAGTCAAATGGCTATACCTGCTTGTCACAGGTGGAAAGGATGCTACTGGCATCTGATGGGTGCAGACCAGGGACACTGCTCAACACCCTACAACGCACAGGACGGCGCCCACAATAGTCATCTGGCCCCTAAAGTCATCAGTGCTACGGTTTAGAAATCCTGCATTAGTGGAGGGGGTACAGAGAGGAAATTCCAAGAAAAGCACCTCATCTTGTCCATCATCACTCCTAACAGGGGCCCCCATCCTGGGGAAGAGGTGAGGAGTTGGGAGAGGAGACCCAACGGTACCTGCCCTGGAACATCCCTTCAGAGGCCAGCACAAGCAGTATTTTCAATCTTGCCATGGTCTTATGAGTGTTTCGATACGCGACAAGTTACAGGCTGCTCCCTGGGGCAGCGCACGTTATTTCTGCAGCCCTGGTTCCCAGCACAGACCTAAGAACAAAGCAGACACCGCAGCACTTCCGTCGACATTTCCCGAATTAATGGCAAGTGTTTCCATTCCTAACACCAAGTGCTAGGATAAATACTTGGACTTTTTTCCCATTAAACAGAGTACCTATGATTGTTTTGTTTCACTGCCATTCCCACTTTTCTACTGGTTGAAAATGGCAGCACCTCTTAACCCCTCAGTCCTGAATTTACCAATTCCTGACAGAGTAGTGATACCTAAGTCAAACGCAGGCTCCTGTAAATTTCATGGCCCATTATTATAATTTCCTTGTCACTCCTTAGAAATCATTTTCATTTGAAGAACAGCTCAAATATATTACAGATTTAGAAAGAGCATCACCAAGGTCAATATTTCACTTGCCCACAGGGTAACCATTACTATCCCCACTGGACATTTGTCCTCTGGGGCAGAGACATTCAGACGCAGAGCCTGGAAGGGGAGGCCTGAAATCCCCACTGGGCAGTCGGCCTCCGGACCCCGCACTCTTAACTGTCTTCACCAGCAGTCTCTGTATGGCCTACCATTTGGGCATAGATGCCTGCAACGATGTCAGGGGTCCTCTTCCTCCCTCTTTCACAACGAGGACAGAAATCCACGTGGTCCAGCAAGTTGGTTCAGATTCCTACCCCCATCCAGCAAGAAACGGCAGCGTCAGGATTCAGTAGCCTGTCTGTCTGCCCTGATGTGAACTGACAAAAAGGACAACTCCCGCTGACGACGGTTCAAAGGGCCCGAGATCCCTCTTCCCAATTCCTTCTGGGCAGATCGTGTCGGCGTGGACAAGGCGGTCATGCCAAATGCAGCGAGTTACTGCAACTGCCAGCACTCTCTCTTACGGGCCAACACTCTGCAAAGATGCCTCAAAAAATCATAGAACTGAGTTGCGTGCTGTCTAAAATATGTGTTCGGTCTCCTCCCCAACCAGGTTTTCAGAAAGGACAGAGTAACATCTTTGAAGAGCACTGAAGATAGCCATTTGCAGACGGGAGGTGCCTCAGAAGAAACCTGAGTGTTTTCTTCTCGAACATCTAACACGCTAATACCTTGGAGACCTTCCCAAGCCTTGGGTTTCAACATGCGACTTGCTTTGCCTGGCAGATTCTGTGCTCATCAGTGAAGCACTC